AAAAAATTTTTAAAGGAAACATTAAAGTCATTAAGTATTCAATAGCTAATGTGGATAAGTGCTAAAGAAGTACAGGTCTCAAAGCCAGTTAGTAACAGAGACGGAACTCAAACTGTATCCCCAGTTCTAGTTACTAAATGAACTGTGTGGCCTCAGCTGAGGCTAAAAGCAGCTGGATTTTCTTTAGGCAAATGCTGATTAAGTTATTATGTTTAGAGGAAATAATGTGCAGTTACATCTATTTTTATTGAAAAAGTAGTTCCCATGCATTCACAGAATATGCAAATAGACTACTCACATAAAAATCTTTAAAACTTCATCAAAGTTGAGAAAAAAGAAAACTACCTTCAATTTACTTCTATGAGTACGTATTTTACTTGTTTGAACGTAAACCCTTTTTGACAAATAGCTTTTCAATGAAAATTTTTCAGTCTCCCTGCTTTTAATCTCTTCTAATTCAAATCTAAAATTATCTTTTTTAAAAAACGCTGCCATGCCAAGGGAATAATGTGCTATTTTTATAAAAAGGCAACTTGGATGATGTCTCTGCTTTAAATTTTCCTTGTTTCCCAATGCCTACGGCAGATCCAACAAAGCCTTAAGTCCTGAAAGTCCTCTCAGGCTGACCGTCCCCTGCGGTCGCCGAGAACTTCCCACCCCTCTGCGTCCCCTCCTTAACCGGCGCAGCATTGCTCTTTTCCACGCACATCAGGAGTCTGAAAATGCAGCTCTTACATTTCCTCTTGCCTGTAGCCCTGATCTAAGCATAAAATACATTTTATAACATTAAAGACTGAAAGGCTATATAATTAAATGTAGAAAAACCCCAGAAAAGCATAGAAATTTAAAACCTGCAGATATCTTAAAATAATTCAAAGGCATCTCACCCTCATGCACTCCCAGTCGCTGGTTTTATTCCTCTGCCAAAGCTCTGCGCTCCTACCTACAACAGTGAGATGAGGGGGGCCACGGAAGGAAAGGCTCGAGAGATCTGAGTGGCCCCGGGAGGACAAACAGCAGCAGTACGGCATACCTGGGAGACCCCTTTTATTCTCGGCCATCTTTTCAGGACCTTTCCCTTGAGTCTCACTTACTTTGTTTAGTTTTGCTTTGGTGGTGGTGTGGGTAGGTTATTATTTTATGTTTGTTCCTTTTGAGAGTTCTTATTTGCTTGCTCCACGATTTCCACTGGATTTTTATTTAGAATATACCTGTGATCTGACAGCCTGGCATCTGCAATTTGGCTACCAAATTTAATTTGTACGGCCTCAAGGCACACAGGGAACTCTGACCTTGGAGGTAAAGTAATGTATTTCAGCAAGACTGAAGCTACTATGAACTGAAGCACAAATAAAAACATCCAGAAAAGTAAGGAAAAAAATAAGTCACTTCTCTTTTTCCATTTAATCATCTTGGTTCATGTCAGCCCACCTGTATGAAGGAGTCTCCCGAAGGGGTACTGATTAGCATATGTAAAATCCTGCAAGTATTTCTGAACAACGTGTGAACTGGGAAGGAAAAAATACCTTGGATAATGTTTCACTAATTACACTCATAACTCTCTACTTTTACTAACAAAATAATGATTAGCAGCTAATTTTTAGGCCATTAATTGATGGTGTGTATTAGTGATTAAAAATGTGTATGGTTATTATACCTAAAGATGGAAAGATTTAATTAATGAAAAGAATGGACACTTTTTTATATTTTAATAAATAAATGTTGTAGAAAAAAGTATATTGCGGTAAAAACAACAATCCCATCGTAAGGTTTTTTTGTTTTTGTTTCTGTTTCTTAGTTGTAGTTTTTATTATAAATCTTTAGTATAAATATTTTTTAAGTAAAAGAACCTGGCTTTTAGCGAACCATTTTCCTACAGATTATCAAGAACACTGGTCATGAATGCAAAGCCCTGCATATCATTATGTGAAACATGTATGCATTCAGAATGTCTACTTGGTGGCTTTCTTTGCTCGAAGCTAAACAATTCATTAAACGAGCTGCTCCTGAATGGGCGATCAGAACAAGCATAAGCTGCCTTCTGTGGAGTTCTATTGTGAAGCTGTACTCGTTTGTGTCCTCTTTGAAGTCGTAAAATGAAACCCTTATGCTCATATTAAAAGCATAAGAAAGACATCTATTATGTCAATAGATTTAAAACACGGCCTTAGACACAGTGAGAACCACTCCGCACTGGCACTCTTATAATAGCAAAGGTTAAGAAGTGCATTCCCAGGGAAAACTTCCAAAGCCTTACATACCATTATATCCAAAAACAAATGCCATCACAGTGTTTGGAACTATAGTTTACAGACACCTACAATCTCAAATAAATCCTTTCTAATCCTATTCTTTTGTCCAGATTTTACACTTTGATGATGACTGCCGGTGCTTTTTCTCTACTATATGACCGTATGTCATTCTGTGAAGAATGAAAACCCACATACATACATGGACATGATTCTTAAAAGATAACTTCTATACACTGTACAAGTAAAATATTTTACTAGTAACAGTTTATCCTTTTAGAAATGCATTACTCAGAGGTTCCAATCTAGGAATCTCCAGCAGCCTGAGTTTTGTAGAGGAAAACATGAAAAACCTACTTCTCTCTACTTCTCTTATTGGAACTATAAAATTGACAAACATCACCTTGTAAAGTGATGCGGGAGTTGTCTATATCTGTGTTTATACCCTGGAGAAACTCTCAAACACAGGAAATGAGTACAAGAACACTCATAGCACCACTGTTTATATCCAAAATTACAAACAACCCAGAAGTTCTGCAGAAAATAACTGGAACTGAAATATACTCAGACAACAAAAATGAACAAACTGTTGGCATATACATCAAAATAGATGAACCCAGGCCAGGGATGCAGCTCAGCAGCACAGCACCTGCCTGGCAAGTGTGAGGCCCTGAGTTCAATTCTTGGTACATAAGAAAAGAAAAAAAAAAAGATGAACCCCAGAGGCAATGCTGAACAAAAGGAACATCTCATAGAAAGCTATGTACAATTTATTTCCATTTATATAAAGTTAAAATCATGTAAAATTGAGCAATGTAATATGTTACTTAGGTTCAGTTGTTTTTTAATCTAAAATTATGCTAAGCAAAACTAAACTACATGAGTTGTAATTAACAGATTGAAGTAAAAATCTTCTATTACCTGTTGTAAATCCCATATACTGGCTATCTTTTTTAGTTTAAATTTAGCTTACTACTAAACAGTACCTATAGACAGATTAATTTCTAGTGGATGCTTATAGGTTAAAAATTGTTTAGAATATCAAATACTTCAACATGTAAGATATTCCATGTGACCTCACTTATACGTAAAATCTAGAAGAGCTGAACTCACAAAAAAAAGAGCAGAAAGGTGGTTATCAGGAACTCGTGGGGAAGAGATGCGAAGATCTTGGTTAAGGGATGTAAAATTTCAGTGAGGTGGAAGGAGTAAGTTCCTTGTACAAGAAACTTGTACAACCCAGTGACTACAGTTAATAACAATGTGTTGTATTCTTAAAAATCTCTGAGTAAATTTTAAGTGTTTTCACCTCAAAGAAAGATGAGTGATTATGCAGCCTGAGGTGGACTATGAAGCAGCCCTGAGCAGGACTTAAATTAACCAGTTGGCTTTTCATGTGTACTTGTGAGTTTGTCCAAAGCCTAGGCATCTTGTCTGGTGATGGGCAGTGGACTCATAGTAAGTGAACCTCTGTGAGTCACTCATCCCCCAAGGCCTGTAATGGTGGGTGAAGACCTAAAGCCTCAAAGGATAAGACAAGATCACAGCCAAGGACACCTTGTTCCAACCTCAAATAGACAAAGACTGTAGCTTCAGGCATCTCACAGCTAGGTAGAGACCTTCTGGAGTTACCGTAGCTCTCCTAGATTAACATAATGCCTTACTTGGAGAAGTCCTTCAGCACTTCCTGTCCTTCTTGAGTATTCTCCTCCCTTGTTCTGCTAACTAAATAAATGAACATCCCAAGGATGTTATCTTGGTCTTACCCTCTAGAGAATCTCAAATTCTATGAGAGGGTTTTGATCCTCTTGGAGCCCTGAAATCATTCCACTTGTCTCTTTTATTTAGTCTTTGCTGTCTACTCACTTGGGAGATTATGGACCTGATCAGCCTGCAATAACTAAAGGATAATATTAACCCAATAGAGTGAGATAATTTATGTTAATTAGTTTGATTTAGCCATCCCATAATGTACACATATTTCAAAACAGCATGCTGTACATGAAACATATATACACTTTTTGTCAATTAAAAACAAATTCATTAGAAGTAAATACATTTTTAAGGAAAACATAAATGCTAACCTACAAAGAGATTTAAACAGTATCATAGTCTGACTGAAAAGAGTTTTGCTTCATAGTTTACCTGAAACTGCACAAGGCCTGTGAGACTGTAGAAAAGACTTCCTCTTTAATTCCTGTCTGTATATAAGATGTGGCTTGTTGTGGTCATCCTCCTGTTCATGCCCATCTGCCCTCAGGATAGGTTCTAAGAAATAGTCACCATCGTGTGCTTTAAATGTTCCCATCTGAAAAAAAAACATAAGTGACAGTCAGTTTCTTCCCAACAGCCACTAGGAGTATATGGTGTCACAGGTTAAAATACGCATACAGGGTGGAGAAGGGGCTCAGTGATAGAGCCCTTGCCTATCATGTGCAATAAACTGGGATGGATCCACAGGACAGCAACAACTCAAATAAAATACAATTAAATGAGTGCACAGAGTAATGAGGAAAGCCTGTTCATTAATTCCCATCAATTGAACATTAAGTTTCCTCTCCACGGCTCATTCATCTGTCTCTACTCTTAATGAAGATTAGATAATACACAGACTGGCAGAACAGAGATGAAAGGTATTCCAGATTATGGATAATGGCATAAAGACCTCAAAATGGAAGAGATATCTAAAGTCATCTATAAATAATAAAGCTTGTTTGTTTAGGCCTATGTAAGGTTATACTATAACACAAGACTTTAGAAAGTAGGGTGGGGTCAGATTGAAGATGTTGAACGTGGAATCTGTCAACAGGGTGAAGTGTTTACAAAGAATCCAACAAGTCCGAATCCCAGGATCCAACACCAAACTTGCTATTTGATATCTCCACTTACAAAACATTCCCCACCTTAATATGTCTGAAGAGGAACACATTATTTCTGGTTCCAACCTGCCGGTTTTGCAACGTTCCCTACTTCAGTAAATGGGCACAGCATTGTAAAGTTGTTGAGACCATAAAATCCATGAAAAAATGAAGACTCCTTCCCTGAAACCACACATTCCATCCACCTGTAAATCTCGATGCCTCAATCATCAGTGTTCAACCAAAATTGAATGACTAGCCCCAAACTTTTACTACTACGTCCATGATCAAAGAGAACATCTTATCTCCTAAAAAATATCAAAAACCTTCTATAATCTACTGTCCATACAGTAGCCACAGTAATTCTTCTCAGGAGAAGAAACTGGGGGAGGAAAAAGGCAAATAAAAATAATTAGGATGTATTATGTCCACACACCAATTCTCCATGATGTGTAATCATTATGTACTGCAAACATGTACTAGTAAAAATTTTATAAGAATCTAAAAATTACTGTGGCCATTTACCGAAGCTTGGATCATGCAATTATGCTAGGAAAAAAATGACTATCCACATTATTCAATAAAATCAAATAAAACACCTCACTACAATTTGTGTGTTAGAGGAAGACAACCAAAAACTAAACATTTCCATTTGCCTGGTTACTTACTAGCAAAGGAACTCTGGAAGGATTCATTAGAAACAAACCAGGTAGAAATGAAAGTCAATGGGAGGGTGCAGAATGAACCAGGTAAGACGCCCTTGTTAACTCGGATACTTCATACATGCTGCTTCTACTGGCTAAAATATTTGCTTACTCACCACTCTTCACCTCACCCCTCTACCTCCTCACACTCAGTTTGGATAACTCCACCTCATCCCTTCCAGACTGAGCTTAAATAGAAACTACTCAGAAAGTTTTCCTTGGACCAGGAATCTAGGAAGCCACATATCTACCCCTCCTCCTGAAAATAGATCACATCTGCCTGACTTCCTCAGTACATTTTATTGTATGCTGTATTTATATATTTGACTCCTATGTACAACTACAAGAGTAATCAAAAGATACACTTAAATTTTTTTAAAACTTATTACAATAAAGATACACTGACAAGAATGATGGGATAAGTAGCTTGAAATAAAAGGGAGTACTTGGAGGGGGATTAATGGCAGTGTGTCTTTTACTATAATAAATATCTTATGATCACTCTTCACTGATCAAATGTTTACAGAACTTTCTATCAAATACAAATACAAACATTATGGTGCATTTTCATTCACCAGATCTGGCACCATGTGGCTTCCGGCTCTTCCCCAAACTCTAATGAGCATGAAAGCTAAACAATTAAAATTGATGCAGGAAGTCAAGGCAGCCACAATAGCATAACTAAAGACAAAAGGAAGATTTCCAGAACTGCTGCAAAAAGTAGCAAGAGGGGTGGGGATATAGCTCAGCAGCACAAGCGCCTGTGTGGCAAGCGCAAGGTCCCAAGTTCGATTCCCAGTACCAAAAAAAAAAAAAAATCAATAACTTCTAGGGCTAGGGATATAGCTCAGCAGCACAAGCACTTGCCTGGCAAGTGCAAGGTCCTGAGTTCGATCCCCAGTACCCAAAACAAAACAAAACAAAAAACTAACTTTTACAAAAAGTAGCAAGAATGATGGGATAAATGTCTGTGAAGCAAGAGGGAATATTTTCAGGGGATCAATAGCATAGTGTCTATTTTTAAAATTTTTAAATTTAAAAATCCACTGTATTTTTTGAACACACTTCCTATTCTCCCCCTGCTGGACTGGAGGCTTATATAAGTAGGGCAATTCCATTGCCTGCTAGAGTATCTTAACACACAGCGGACATGGTACATGGTATTTTTGATCCTAAAAAGCAATTTCCTACCTTTATAAGCTAGACTTACGCTCAGCAGAGGTGAGGCATAAGTTTGGAAACACAATATAATTCATAAACTTGAGTGAAAATATTACATCTTTATTTTCATTCACCTGTAACTAAAATTTAGCATTTCTTTCAACCACGAATGAAGGCAACACACCCACACGACGTTGCCAGGGGAAAGTACAGAAATTTTCATCAGAGGAAAATGTATGCATTTTCTCAGATTGCTGTTTGGGTTCATCAGTGCTTCAAAGTTAAAATTAGGTCTGAAATACATCTTAATATTTTATATGCTAATAAATAAAAAAGGTATAACTGTGAAACTTCTTGATGACTGCATTTCAATGTAACTGGCTGATTCTGTATTTCATTTTAGGGATATTAAAACATTATGTGAGAAGGGCGTCACTGATTAAGTACGGAAGGGTTTGAGCAAAAGTGGGAAGAGAGAGGAGAATCAAAGCCACAAGTCTGGAAGATTAACAACAGAATTACACGGCTCAGGCAAGACCAGTATGGAGAACGCTTTGGCCACCCACATATGAAATAGTAAGTACTTTTATCCTACTGGTCTGTCCAGAAAGTAAAAAGAGCCCTTACATGTTGAACTAACACAGACAGATCCCTCCCTAGTCAGGTGACAGTAAATCATTCAGGGTAGGCATTAATATTAATAGCTAATTCCAATGCAGGGATCAGACATCCTTCATTCATATATGTTGTTCATTCCATATGTAGTGAATTGACAACTGGTGGGCAACTTATAAC